AGCGTACTATCTTTGTCTCACAAAGGATGCAATTTTGAATTTGGTGAAACTACCCTAAATTCGACTAAGTTTATAGAAAATAATATCAATATTTACGAAATTTAAGCCTAAGCAAAATTTTAAATTCGATCTTTTTGAGACGGAGAGAGTACACATATATTTAATGCTTGTGGGATCATGAAAAATGTTTCGTTTGTAAGGAAAATGGACCCATGGTCCATTTACTTTGGATTTTGGTGTTTGATGACCAACACAACTAAATTGGACTAATAAATTTACAAGTGATTGTTTTATAGTTCAATAGGATGCAAGACGTGACTTCGACGAAGGCGACGTGATGATCTGATGATCAACACCATAAGCAAGACCTTAGAAGCACAAGAGAAGACCCAATATATCAAGCAAAGTCCAAGCACGAAGATAGGAACCAAGTCGAACGCAAGATCACGAAGAAACGAGCTCACAGAGGTGACCGGACGCTGGTAGCACAGTGACCGGACGCTCCGATCAGAGGCTCGGCAGCAGCAGCGACCGGACGCTGAAAAGGCAAATCGACTGGACGCAGGACAACAGAGTCCGGTCGAGTACAGAGAGGTTCCAGAGCGGCAAAATTACGACCGGACGCGTCCGGTAGCATGTGACCGGACGCTGGCAGCGTCCGATCAGTGGATCGCGGATCCAACGGTCGGGACGACTGGACGCGTCCAATCAGGACGACCTCAGCGTCCGATCAGTAGCAGAAAAGCGGGATTTCGTCCCCAACGGCTACTTTCTCAGTGGGGCTTATAAATACAACCCCCAACCGGGCATTTGAGGTGTGTGGAGCTAAGGAAACATATCAAGGGTGTTGATACACCATTTTAGTGATCTCCATTTGCATAGGGCTTAGTGATTCATTAGGTGATTAGCGTAGGTGCTTTGCGAAGTGCTTAGGTTGATTAGACCACCGCTTATGCGCTTGCTCTAGGTTTAGGCCTGTGTTTAATAAGGTTTGAATACATCTTACCACTCGGTGCTTGCGCGCACCATTGTTGTACATCGGATGGGCTTGTAGTCTTGCGAGATCACACCAACCGCGTTTGTGGTGTGGTAGCCACCGTGTACCGAAGGGAACAAGGCCCGCGGCGTTTCGGTCGGAAACTTGATAGTGAAGACGGCGGGGAGCATCCGGGAGAGGCTTGCCGAAAGGTACGTCAGAGACCCACTTGCGCCTGGGGAAAGCCCGAGGCTATCCACGGAGTTACCCGATCGGGAGCTTGGCCCTTGCGAGGGGCTCCAAAGAGGACTCGGGGGAAGCTTGCACGCTTCTCGATACCCCGATAAAAATACCGGAGTCGTCGACGGGAGTTTGCATAACTCTACCTTGCTCTTTAGCTTTCCGCATTTACATTGAGTACATTACTCCTTTTGCGGTAGAGATAGCAATATACTAGCAAAACCGTAGTTGCACATTTAGGTAGTTTATATTTTGCATAGGTTTTGCTAGGGTTAGAAAAAGATGCCATAGTCTAGAGTTAGATTTTTAAGTTGGCTAATTCACCCCCCTCTTAGGCGTCACGGTCCCCTTCATCCTTAACCACTCTTATACTAATAATAACACTATAATGTTTTAAAATTATGTTTATATCCATGACAATAATTTATATAACTTTGTGCTCATAGTAAAACACTACGAACTATTTATATTCATAGTATAGTTGTGAGCCACTTTTTTTATACAAAAGTAACACTACATATACACAACTGTTGATAAGAAAATCCAACATATAGAGTAGTGGAGGTTAGTAGGTCTCTCTTGTTTTAAGATTCTTGTGGAGTAAACTTAGATTATTAGAGCTAAACATTAATTTCCTCTCGAATTTATCCCACTGGCCCCTCCTAGATCTCGAATCTTCATCGCCAGTCTTGAGGGCTATGGGTGTGTTTGGTTGAGCTGTGGCTGTGGAAAAAAGCTGTTGTGGGCTGTGAGCTGTGGGAAAGCTGCTGTGGGCTGTGAGCTGTAGAAAAGCTGAAAGCTGTTTGGTTAAACAAGTATAAAATATACCTTCTATCTTTATCTCTCTTAAAACAGCTATGGAAGAGCTTTTTATTCCACCAATTTCGAAAAGCAGAAAGCCAAAAGCCAAAAGCAGGGTCAAACCAGCTTTCAAAAATATACTACGGAAAAGCAACTGCTTTTGAAAAAGCAGCCTCCAAAAACAGCCTCTTTGGTTGGGCTTTTGGCTTTTGGGACCAAAAGCCAAAGTCAGAAGCCCAGCCAAACGGACCCTTAAATGATCATTTATGCTATTGTAGTAATCAAGAGTGCACTATAAATCTTCAGAATTATTTTTCACACAGATTAAAAAAGGATGGTTTTCCATAAAAGGTACAATAAGCATATGTGTTTCAACTTTTAACTTGAGGATAAAAAAAACTTAGAGCAACTTATTAGATAAAAATTCGAAAGTCAAATTTGAACGTCATGGTTGCAACAAGAGCCACCATAACTTCAGTTAAGGTTTTACTAATAAATGCATGTAGAAGATATACAGATACATAGAGTAATTGTTAAGTTTACCATATCTGGATAGAGATTATAGAGTATATCTATACTCGTATTGTGTTAAAAAATGAATAAAGAGAAAAGCATAAAAATAATTAACTTTTGTTGGTTGTAGGTATTAATAAGAACTTCTATTGTCTGTCTTTTGACTCTTGAAAATAGTGTTATCCTAAATAACAAATGTAAACAGTCAATCACCATTTATTTACTATTCAAACTATTTATATGTTGTTTAAATGGAGTTAAATAGTCTAAACGGTTTTGTATAGTACTACTATACATATTTATATATGTAAAGTTAAAATATACAAGAAAGTATACACATTTATATATAAAAATATGTATTATAGAAAATAATTTTTTTACTACTATTTAGGGACTAAAACAACAAGGTTGATCATCATTTACTGTTTAAATGTTGTTTAAATGGCCCAAATGACCATTTAGGTGAACCGTGCCTAAAATTCGACCCCATGTATATGAGCACACTTTGTTGGAATAGTTTATCAGCTTTAGATTTCCAAATGACATAATTCAAAAACCAATACTTTAAATCCATAGATGTTTTGAGTAACTCCATTTTTTCACAATTTTATTTTAGATATCAAATTAGAAAAAAAAATAAAGGAATCTGATTTTCACAACTCTGGATTCTTGTTTTAGGACATTAGAAGAACTGAAGTTATAGATCCAATTTTGATTTTGTTGAAACAACCAAGCTTTGAGATTGGAAAAAACATTAGCAGATTTCAGGGGAGTAAAGCCCCGTGGAATTGAATGAAAGCAAACGCACACACAAGGATTAATATTCCAGTATAGCAGTAATAAACTATACACCTTGTAATCTCACATAGAAGATCACAGTGAAGCACCAGGCAAGGTAAGCTGAAATTTTAATAAGCTGCTCGTAAACAAACGAAATTAAAGGCATCCACTTTGTTCTGGAGCACATGATCCTTTTGGTAAAAAGACCCACCATGGAAAGCCAGAAAGACATGCATGCATTTTTCTTAAAGAGAAAAAGCATAAAAATATTAACTTTTGTTAGTTGTAGGTATTAATAAGGACTTCTACTGTTTGTCTCTTGAAAATAGTGTTATCCTAACTAATAAATGGTAAACAACTGATCACCATTTATTTACTGTTCAGACCATTTATATGGTGTTTATGGAGTTAAACAGTATAAACGATTTTGTATAGTACTACTAAATATACATATTTATATTTATATATGTAAAGTTCAAATATACAAGAAAGTATACACATTTAAAAAAAAGTATTATAGAAAATATTTTTTTATGACTTTTAGGGACTAAACAACAAGGTTGAACATCATTTACTGTTTAAATATTGTTTAAATGGCCCAAATGACCATTAATTCGACCCCTTGTATGAGCACAGTTTCATGGAATAGTTTGTCAAATTTAGATTTCAAAATGACATAATTCAAAAACCAATACTTTAAATCCTTAGATATTTTGAGTAACTCCAAATTTTCAAAATTTATTTTGGGTATCAAATTAGAAAAAAACTAAAGGGATCTGATTTTTACAACTCTAGATTCTTTTTTTAGGACATTAGAGAAACTAAAGTTAGAGATCCAATTTTGATTTTGTTGAAACAAGAAGCTTTGAGATTTGAAAAACATTACCAGATCCACGAAATGAAAGCAAACGCACACAAGGATTATTCCAGACACGCGTTTCAGTAATATAAACTATACACCATGTAATCTCACATAGAAGATCACAGTGAAGCACAAGGGCAAGGTAAGCTGAATTTTTAATAAGCTGCTCATAAACAAACGAAATTAAAGGCATCCACTTTGTTCTCGAGCACATGATCCTTTTGTAAGACCCACCATGGAAAGCCAGAAAGACATGAATGCATTTTTCTTAAAGCAGATAATAAAGTTAATATAAGGGAAAAATACGTAATTAAACATGAACGTGGTATGCATGAGAGATTCGTGAAATGCAGAGCAAATTGTGTAACATAGCTTGCGTAGGCAATGATCATATATACCGTGGTAGCTATGGCATGGTCGCGAAAAAAAAAGATCATATATACCTGTAAGTTACACATGGGACATGGCTGTAACATGTGAGGTCGTTCATTCCCATGTAAAAACCTCCCATGAGCGAAAGTTTAGAAGGCCAGCAGGGGTACCACTTGGATGGATCGATAAGAGGTCAAGAGCACTCAGCACTCGGTAGCTAGCAGCGTAGCTAGCAATGGCAGCGCCTGTGGCAGCAGTAGTGCTCCTCTTCCTCCTGCAACTGGCCTCCCTGTACCCCAGCAGCGTGATCCTTGCCGATGCGGTGCTTGGTCGAAAGGCGGGCCTCCTCGTCATGGACGACGCCGACGAGCCGGCGGCGGAGAGTATTAATGCGGCGCGGCGGCTGGGCCGGGGAGGTACGCCGTGATCTTCGACGCCGGCAGCACGGGGACCCGGATGCACGTCTTCAGGTTCGACAACAAGATGGACCTCGTCGGGATTGGCCACGCCATCGAGTTCTTCGCCAAGGTATAGCCTCATCACAGCAGAACGATGAACCCGTTTTTTCCCCTCTCTCGTTTTCTTTTGGCCGGTAGTACAAGAACAAAAGCTGCCAGTGCATGTATAGTTGCGTACACTTCTAACGAGAGTAAACATATATGTTATTGTTACTGATTGAGCAATGAGCTGTAGACAGGGAAAAATTGGTTGGATGGTCGTTACAATGTACCGTGAGCACCTACCACGGATTCACGACACGTGTGTATGTAAAATCGTCCATACACATGTGTGTTAGATAATTTTACATATGCACACATGTCATCAATTAGTGATAGGTGCCTACAGATATCCCGTGAGGATTGTCTCTATCGATTTTTTTTTCTATAGGTAGTACAATGCATTTATGCAGGGATTTCGATAGATAATGTAACATCATTCATGTCCTCGACGTTGTTAATTTGTTGGTGCAGGTGAAACCTGGGCTAAGCTCATATGCGGGGCAACCCCAAGAGGCCGCAAACTCCATACTACCTCTCATCAAGAAGGCCAAGAGGGTTGTCCCTTCGCAGCTAATGGAGAAACTCCCTCTTAAGCTAGGAGTATGTGAAAAAAATTCCTATCTTTTTCTTAAGTGTAACACTGTAGATATAATTGAAGATCATTTATGAAAATGCATATTCTCCTCTCTCGACTCTAGTCACCAGTTGACGAGGTATCATTATAGGTGATGTGGTCTACTTACAAACAAATGGATCATCACACTTCTTTTTTTTAAAAAAAATTGTGCACTAGAATGAATTTGAATACTGCATCTAGTATGACCTCTTACTCTCAAGGATCTGGGCTCCTAGAGTTGGAGGTCCCTGACTTCTCAGCTGATAACTCGAACCAGGTAACGGAGGTGTCAGGGTTTTTGCCTGACTACCACCGCAGGGGGTGAGATTAAGAGCAGCAGAGGTAGATTAGAAGATAACTTCTTTCTTGATTGCCTTCTCATAAGCTGATTACAGGGTATATATAGGACTGCCCAGCCCCTAGGCGCCAGCCACAAGCTCCTTGGTTCTCTCCCCATTAATCATCCTTAATCTCTCATTAATTCTATCCTTTCCCCAGACTACTAATTGTCATTAACTACAGTTGGTGCCCCCTTGGAGACTGCCCTGACTGCGTCTCGAGCCTTGGAGCGCCTTTGATAATGGCGCCCCCACATGACATCTCTCCCCCCTCAACGAGTAGCTCGTCCTCGAGCTGGAAGCTTGGGTAATGCTTGGTGAAGCTGTCAATGTCCTCCCAGGTAACGGAGGCTGAGGGCTCGCCTTGCCAATGTATCAGGACTTGGCGGACGCCTCGGGCCAGCCTAGTGCGTGAGGCGCGTTCTGGAACCGGCTGTGTGGCGCCATGATGCATAGGAGGCAGAGCTGGGGGGATGGCTGGGGGAGTGCCCACGAACTTCTTCAGGAGCCAGACGTGGTAGACATCGTGCAGCCGGGCGCGGGGAGGGAACTTGAGGCGGTAGGCGACGTCGTTGATGATGGCAGAGATGCGGTATGGGCCATAGTACCGGGGCCGCAGCTTCCCTTCGGTGATGCCGTGGAGGGAGGTCGGGGCGCGATGGCGCAGACGAAGCCAGACCCAATCACCCACGCTGTAGTGAACGTCGCGGTGATGCTTGTTGTAGAACCGCTTGTAGACGTCCTGAGCTTGCTCCAGCCAGGCCCCGGCATCCGCCATGGTCTTGGACACCGCAGCCACCCTGGTTTCGTCAGGCTCATAGGAGCGGATGGAGGGTGGCTCACTTCCGTAGATGAGCTGGAATGGTGTGGTCTTGAGCGCGGATTGAAAGGCGGTGTTGTAGATGTATTCCGCCCATGGCAGCCAGCGCAGCCACAGACGGAGGCAATCGTCCAGCAGGGCTGGCAGGAGATCAGCTGCGCTGTAAGTCCGTAGAGAAGGGCCGGTGCCCCCGGCGATGCCTGTCCAGCACACCCTGTGATCTCGGTGCCAAAAGGACATGGTGAGTGCGCCAAAATCCTAGAGGATCGGGCCAAGGGAGGCCAGCCACTCGGTGCCAAGGACGACGTCGTAACCGGCCAGAGGTAGTGCGAAGAAGTCGGTGGAGAATGGTTCACCGGTGAGGGAGAAGGAAACGACACGGTAGATGCCGGGGCACGACACCCGTTCCCCATTCGCCACCGTGACCTTCATGTTGTCGTGGGGTCAGAGCTTGAGGGAGGTGCGTGCCGCTGCTTCCTCAGAGACGAAGTTGTGGGTGTAGCCCGAGTCCAGCAGGGCCAGTAAGGACGCCCCGCCCAGCTGGATGCGGACCTGCATGGTCTCGCTAGAGTGGACGCCTGCCATGGCGAGTAGTGAGATGAGCGGGCTGGCAACCGCAGCATCGGTCTGCTCAGGATCATCGTCGCCATCGGCCTCGGCCAGATCGAGGAGGAAGATGTGCTGGCAGACGTGGTTGTGACCCCTGGCAAACTTCTCATTGCAGTTGAAACAAAGGCCCAAGCGGCGCCACTCCTCCATCTCTGATTGGGACATCCGTTTCACCTGGCGGCCCTCGACGGTGAGAGAAGGGGCGGCTGCATGGGGTGGGGGCTGGTAGGGCCAGCTGTGGTGGTGGCCCCGTCAAGAGGCCATGCGTGGCCTGCTGTGGCGTAGGCGGAGCTGGAACAGCGGCGGGGTAGTACTGCTCGCGCAGCTCCAGCTTGCGCGCGAGGCTCATGGCGATTACGAGGGATTGCGGGTTGTGGACTTCCACGTTGAGGCTGAGCGGCGGCTGCAGTCTTGCCGTGAACGCTTGTACGCGTTGCACCTCTGTGAGCGTGCCGACGCGAGGAAGCAGCGCCTCGAAGCGGTTCTGGTACTCCGCTACCGAGTTCGTCCGCTGGCACGCCATCAGCTCACCAAGGGGCTTGGAGCGGATCGGCGGCCCAAAGCGGAGGTTGAGGAGCTCGGAGAAGCGGCGCCAAGACGGTGTACCCTCCTCCTGCTGCACTTGGAGGAACCACATTTGGGCGCCGTCTTCAAGGTTGTATGACGCCATCCAAACTTGCTCCTCAGCTGCAATACGTTGTTGATGGAAATACGACTCACATCGGTTAAGGAAGGCCAGCGGATCAGATTTCCCGTCGAACTTGGGAAAGTCCAGCTTCTGAAACCGAGGTGGACGGTCCCCGTGGTGGTCATCGTGGCCCGAGCCGTGCGATCCTGAGTCGGAGAACGCTTGTGGCTACGCCTGCTGAAGAACGGCGACCTGCTGTTGAAGGTCGCTGATAGAGGCGTTCATGGTGGTGGTGAGGGCCTAGATCATCTTGGCCAGGTCAGCGGTGGACGGCTCAGCCATTGGCAAGGATGTGGAGGCTGCTGAGGCGGTGGGTGAAGCAGGGGTTGATGGTGAGGTGGCTGCAGGGTTGGAGTGTGGGGCGGAGGTGGAAGAAGATCGTCGGCTAGCTGATACCAAGTTGTCAAGGACCTGGGCTCCTAGAGTTGGAGGTCCCTGACTTCTCAGCTGATAACTCGAACTGTAATGGAGGTGCTGTGGTTTTTGCCCCGACTACCACAAAGCGGGGGTGAGATTAAGAGCAGCAGAGGTAGATTAGGAGATAACTTCTTTCTTGATTGCCTTCTCATAAGCTGATTACAGGGTATATATAGGACTGCCTAGCCCCTAGGCGCCAGCCACAAGCTCCTTGGTTCTCTCCCCATTAATCATCCTTAATCTCTCATTAATTCTATCCTTTCCCCAGACTACTAATTGTCATTAACTACAGCTGGTGCCCCCTTGGAGACTGCCCTAGCTGCGTCTCAAGCCTTGGAGCGCCTTTGATATTGGCGCCCCCACATTACACTTACAGTTTTTTATTACATATATAACACGAAACAGAAGAAAAAACTAATGAAAGCAAAATTGGTGTGAAGCTATTTATCCACCAGAATTAGCAATATCAAAAGGTTCTTTGTATATCCCTAATGTTTTATTTTATTGTACCAATCGAATCTTCAGGCAACTGCTGGGTTGAGACTTATCGGAGACGAACAAGCGGATAAGATTCTTGAGGCGGTAATATATTGCATCTCAATTACCTACGGGTTTTGTATCAGCACTTGGCACACACCATCATAACAGACATGAACGTGACAATATATATTAACCGATGGACTAATTGAAGATATTCCAAATTACATACAGGTTAGGGATCTTGTCCACACCAAGAGCCAATTCCAATACAACCCTGACTGGATCAATGTTATTGAAGGATATCAAGAAGGGTCTTATCTATGGGTATGGCTTAGTTTTTTATACATTATTTGTTGCATGTATATATGTCTATTGTTACAATTTGCTAGTGTATGGCATTTGATGTGTAGGTTGCTCTAAATTATCTGTTGGACAAACTGGGAGGGGATTTCTCCTAGACGGTTGGTGTTGTTGACATGGGAGGTGGATCCTTGCAAATGGCCTATGCCATTTCTGCAAATGATGCCGCAAAGGCTCCTAAAGTACCAGATGGAAATGATCGCTATGTTACAAAAGAGTATCTTAAAGGAAAAGATTACAACATCTATGCTCACAGGTATGAATTCATCACATTAGCTTGGATAAAAGGCTAGCTTGTGCAACTTTATTAATCATAAGGCGATATATACAAGGAATGGTCACCGAGAACCTTTAATTTTTCTTGCAACTGCTTAAACTATGGTGTTTTTGCAGCTCGAGCAAAGATTCTAAATGCAAAGGGTGGACAATTTAGTTTCTACATGCTGCGTGGATTCAAAGGTGTGTATGTTGACCTTGCTCATACAAGCATTTCATTTGTATTTTTTTCAAGAATTTTATAAATTTCAAATGTAATGTCCCCTCTTTTTTTTAAGGTAACTACACATACAATGGACAACAATACGTTGCAACCGCCTCACCTGAAGGAGCACTGTATGAAAAATGTAGGGAAGAGATAACTAAGGCACTAAACCTGAGTGCCCCATGTAACACAAAGAGTTGCACCTTCAATGGTGTGTGGAATGGGGGAGGTGGAGCTGGCCAGGACAACCTCTACCTTGCATCAAGCTTTCACTTTTTGGCCGCACAGGTATTAATTAAAACTAATAACTCCCCAAATTATGATCGATATGTAATTGGAATGTTTGCAAGCCACAGTATGTATGTTAACATTTTCTTCTCCATATGAAAAGGTTGGGATCATAGACGGAAAATTCCCCAGTGCAAAGTCGACCCCTTCTGCGTTCAGAGTTGTTGCAAAGAAGGTTTGCCAAATGAGTGTTAAAGAAGCAAAAGCTGCATACCCCAGTGTTTAGGACATCCATGTGCCATACTTGTGCATGGATCTTACTTACCAGTACACATTGCTCGTAGATGGTTTCGGTTAGTAGAGAATTAGTTCTGAATATTATTTACTCCACATGCAAGAAACTTCTTTGTAGTAAAATAGGATGTTACACATCATGCATGTATATATGTAATTCATGTGATTGTTGTGTGCTTGTGTAGGCCTGAAGTCAATAAAAAAGGTCACATTGGTATCCAAGGTGAAGCATGGAGAGTACTACGTTGAAGTTGCGTGGCCTTTGGGTACTGCCATTGAGGCATTGTCACCCAAAAAGGGGCATGGATCTGCATGAGATAGGCTTTGGGCCTACAAGCAATAGCACAACCTGAGCGCATGTTAACAAGGGGTCAACAACTGAAGTAGTATGTATTCAAGTATAAATTGCTATTATATCTTTCAATATATATGTGTTCTCCAACGTATTACAATAAATTCATTGTGAGGGGCAGCCATGATTCATGCTGACATTAACTTAGTTCCATCCCAACTCAATCATGAGCATCTAATTTGTAACTTTGTGGCAGTTTTAATTTACAGTTGCCTACTAAGTGTTTTTAGAAGTGGGGCATATAGAACCTGTGGACCCCTTGCTTAATTTGCGCGAGCCCTCCTTGCCACTACGTTACACCAGCTAGACAACCACTTGTGACCAAGTATCGGTGGCCATGGAGGGGCACGATTAGGGGAGGAAATGAGCAAAAGAGAGAGGTTGAGGTATTGACCGATATGATACTATATGTAACAAAGGTAAATCATGTAATGTAGTACCGCTGTAGTAGGACTCTATGACTGATATTTAAGGCCCATGGTCCAATCAATAAAGCATCGTAGAATATGATTTCCCTAATCAATAAAAAAAAGAAATATCTTCTTTTATCAATCTTCAGTGTGCGTCAGCTATTGATCCGAAGACTGATATGCATGTGAAGCACAGTGGACCTCAGAGGAGGGCTCGACACACTGCAGACCATCGATGAAATGGCTAGAGAGAGTTGGCACAAGGTTGTTTGACAAAGAGATTCACCAAAATATGCCCATTGAGTAGGTCAATGTTAAGAAGAAAGAACATACATGTCTTCGGGTTGCACTTCTGCTGAGGTGGTGTTCTAGTGGATGATACATCTAATTAGTGATAATGAGGAAGTTATTCGAGATGCACAAGTGACAATTGATGACACCATCTTTGTCACTACCCAAGAAGTCAAGGTAGAAGATCTTGGTTGACAGAGGATCCATTAATAGAGGCAACGCCTTCTTTCACCGCTACAACTTGGATGAATGATGTGAAGGTCCTCTTTGTACACACCGGACATGCACATCAGAACCAACAAATTTGTCTCCTACCATTAACAAGCATAGTAAGACGTCATTACAATTCCTACAATATAGATCGCCATTTAATCAAAGTGTATGCCTTGCACTGCACAACGTGTTGGGAATGATATTGGGAATGATACGAAGCTCAACAAGGATACGACCCATAGATAGGTTTAAAATGTCATGCTTTCTAGGATGTGGTGGCAAAAAATTCTTTGGTCTTGGTTAGATGTTGTCTCTGTTGTTGTTGTTGGTGGTGGTGTTTTTGCTCATGGTGGAAGCAGGTTGTTGTTGTTTGAGTTATCTTAGTTTTTGTAGCTGTTGTTTTTATGTTGTAAGCCTACTGTTTGTCCGGTCTATGCCTCCCTGTTTTCTCAATTTAGTTGGCAGCTCTCATGCCTGGTCCATTTCAAAATGCCTGGTCCTGAAATGGTGAAACAATAAACTAGTGATCGATCTGCGTGACCAACAACAGGAACTGATGATACTTTGTAGTACACCACCGATGCAGCACTGTTAATATCTATGGACTATGGTACATATATAATCATTCGTTCGAGGATTATTCCACACACACAAGGACACAAACTCAGAGGTAAAGTTGACACATACACATATAAGGCACCAAATGTAATCACCGATCGGAATCAACATTGCAGTAGTTGGCACGAATGAACACCCGACTCGCATGTCTTGTCAGGGTCATCTACACCTGTGCATGTGCTTGACCCTGAGGAGGAGGAGGAGGAGCAGAAGCAGCAGAAGCAGACTGCTGGCCGTCGTGCTTGGGCTCGGCCTCAGCTGCTGGTGCCGACGCCGGCCGGCGCCGGCGTGAGAATCATGGTGAAGGAGCTGATCCCGAGCGCGGCGGCGACGAGGGTCAGCACGGCCGCTGTCGCGAAGCCGGCGCCCTTGAGGTAGTGGCACCCGTACTCGTACAGCCCCATGGCGACGGCGTCGCGCGTCGTGGCCGCGTTCCACCTGACGCCTTTGACGTAGTCCGCCGCTGCCACCGCCGCCGCTATCCTGCATACATGCATGCATGTACAGGAATCGATCGATCGCTGTCATATGCCACTATAATGCCCACGCGTCGACTCACCATGAGGCGACACAGCAGACGACGCCCTTAACCCGCCGGGACCCGGAAGCGGCGCCGCCCTGTGGCTTGACGCAGCCAAAGCAGCCGCCGGCCACCGTGGAGATGACCATGGCCGCCACTAGTAGGGGCAACGCGCATATACCCAGCGTGTAAGCTGGCTTGGCTGGGTAGGCGCACACGCCGGAGGATTCGTGGAATTGGATCTCATCCGGCTGCAACATGCATGCAAACATAGATGATGCAAGATTGAGGAGAACGGAAATATTTATAAAGATGGATTTCATTCTCACCCATGCATTGCATGCATGCTTACATTATTGAGTTTTGTGGCCTGCGCGATGAACCCCAACACAGCTAGCGCTCGTCACCGCAAGCAAAGCAACCACGACGTCCAGGATGGTGATCACGCTATTACTCGCCATTATTAGTCCTATCAATGTAAACACCCTCGATCTCTCTTTGATTTTTCTGTGAGATGTGAAGAAGTAAGGATATATCGATGTGGCTGGAATGGATGTGCGATAAAACAATGCTCGAGCTTACGTATATATAGAGAGAGATTTAGAGAGAGCGTCGAGAATTAATGTCTCTGTTATATCACGACAGAAGAGACTAATCATGTTGTCGATTGTTCGATCTGTTACATTCGTTCATTATTCTGTTGTGCAGAGAAAAGATTCATGGGTACTCAATATTCACACTGCTAGTTTGTGCCTGAGATCATAATGGGCGATGCTATAGTTCAGTCACCTATTTTTTAGTTTTTGTTTTTGTAAGGCATCTATATCCTCTAACCTACTGTGATTGCGACGTGTTTAAATCGGAGGTTAATAGGCACCTGTGCAAACACGCTACAGTAGGTCAGGGGAGGGGAAACATGCATGTGAGTACTGCTGTCATCTTTAGAGGAAGACCTTAGGGGTTTTCAGGTGCCTGAACAACAGGATCGGAGGTGCAAAACAATATGAATTGATCAACTCATCAGGCCAATTAAGCAAGGTGATGACATAATCTATTGGAGCTCAACAGAATGTTGGTAGTTGGCTGTATACCAAACTGAGTTGACATCAATCTGTCATACAGAGTAGTACTAATATTGCTGTCATGATGTTTTAACAAACAGTTAATGATGCTACGATCACATTGATGACATCAATTAATTATCACTCTGTCCATTCAGAAATATACACTACCGCATCTTAAGTTTAAGTGCCATTCTTCGTGAACGGCAATGCAAGACAGTGTAAGTGTTTCGGCTTAAACATCATAGAGTATATTCTTAAATAGAGACAACAT